CACGGCCGAGAGGGAAGAGGCTGGAGCCCAAAGGTGCTGCCAGGTAGGGCCCCTGTCAAGCTCCAGGGCCCAGAGGTGGGCATTGCCAGCTGGGCTGCCCAGAGCCAGGCCAGCATGCAGGGGCCCATGGGCTCACAGGCAGCAGTCTGGCCCTGGGGCTGGCGGCTTGTCCGGGTGATTCCGGAGTCCTTGATAGGGGACTCCCCACAAGCAGGATGAAAGTCCTGGAGCTGACGCCCCCAGGAGGTGACAGCGCAGGGCAGCAGCTAGGGCAGTGCTTTGAGGTGAGAGCTGCAGAAGAGGCAGAGCCAGGAGGGATGGGGGCAGGGCAGCCCTGAGGAGGTGGTGTTGGGCTCAGACCTGAGTGATAGGCAGAGCCAGGCTGCTGGCACAGGGAGTGCAAAGGCCCTGGGGCAGGAGCACTGTGGGGTCATAAGGAGGCAGGTGAGCCCTGCGAGCACCCCTGAGGAATAGGATAGGGGCCCAGAGCACCCAGTGTTAGGTGAGGACCAGGGATTTCATCCAGGCCTCCAAGAGGATCTGATTGAGAGTTTAAAATGGAGCACGTGCCCAGCCGGAGGCCCTGAGCTCGGCCAGGCACTGCCAATAAATACATAGGTGGCGCCTTGGCACATCGCGTGGGCAGATGCTGAACCTCCCTCACGGGATGCTGGTGCCCGGCCTGCGGCTGCCCCGGCTGCTACAGGTGCCCCTTGGCACGGTGTAAATGAACACACTCTCCAGGCCCCCCATCACTGATGGGCTAGAAGGGGACACCCCAGCCACCTCCACATCTGGTCCCACTGATGGTGGGGCTGGCACAGGGACCAGGGGCAGAGAATAGCCGGGCTCCCTGGGAGGTGGCTGGGAGCAAGCCCAGGCCCCCAGGTGTGGGCACCTCTGGTCTTCTGGGCTCTCTGTTGCTGTCAGCTCCTGCCTTGTCCCTGATGCCAATCTGGTCACGAGGGCGAGATTGTGAGAGAAGGAAAAAGAAGGCTCATTGCTTTGCTCCTGTCCCCAAGGCTGAATTCCGCTGCCAGCAGGAACAGGGGCTTTCACAGAGGTGACCCCAGGCCTGCATTCCAGGACCCCGTCGGGGTTGACATGCACTTGTTGACGTGGGAGAATCATTTCTGAGACCTTCTGGGGGACTTGTTCCTGGGCGGGTGGGTGCTCAGGGACAGGAAGAAAGGTGCCCCCGTCTCCCATGAGATTAGGGAGGGAGGCATTAGGGAGGAGCAGGGAGAGTGGAGGAGGAAGAAACGGTCCACCCTGAAGATCAGGCCCGGGCTGTGTCCATGGCCTACGGTGGACATGGTTACATGAGGGTCCTGAGGTGGTGTTCCTGTGAGTGATGGCCTTGTCCTGGCCACACAGCAGCCGGACCCTAACCCCCTCGGGCTGGTGCCTGCTGGCTCCGTCACACCCCTATTAAAAGACCCCCTAGATGGCATGAGCAGGTCCCGGAGGCTGGGCAGCCACAGGAGCTGCCTCTGCCGGCCCGACCCCGGCCCTTCCCCCTCTGAGGCCGACCCCGGGGACTCATGTTGTGTAGTGGCAGGCCCCGGGGTGCTCAGCAGGGTGTTGCTGGAGGAGTGAGGTGTCACTCTCATGGGCTTGGGGAGCGAGCTCTCTGAGGGTCCCTGTATTTTGGGGGTGCTGCAGCCCAGGGCTGGCGCATGCTTAGCAAGCCCTCTGCCAGGGAGCCCCTACCAGGGCATCTCAAGTTATGCCCTCCTCAGTCTCCTAGAACCCCCCACCCTCCCTCCATCTTCCCCCAGGGAAGATTAGTCCCTCCCCCACCTTCTGAAAGCCCCCGGGCTCTGCCGGCCCTGAGCCAGGGTGGCACTTGGCAAGCGGGCGGGCATCTCCCCAGCTCCATGCCGCAGCATACGCAGGCCCTCCCCGAGTGACCCCTTTCTCCTGCATCACCTGAGCCTGGGATTGGCCCAGAGGCCTGTTCCCCAGTCCCTTCCTGTCCTGGCAGCTGGGAACCTCTGCCTGCCCCGTCCCTGTCCCCCACCTGCTCAGTTTCAGTGCCTGCTTTGTAGGGTTGGTCTTGGTGTCCCTTTGGGGTCACCAAGTGGTGATGTCCTTTGGCTTCAGTGATGTGGGAAGGAGCCCATAGTCCTTCAGGCGGAGGTGGGAGGCCCAGCCAGGGACTGGGCCCCCTTGCTGTGACTTCGGGCAGGTTCCTCAGCCCCTCTGGGTCTTGGTGTTCTCCAAAGGTGGGTGACACCMGGATTCTGGGAGGAGGAGGTGACAGCCTCCCCAGATGCCAAGGGCTGGCTCCTACTAGTCCCTTTTGTGGGAAACGGGGTACTTGGGGAAATTCCCAAGGTTGTGGGTCGGCTTGGGTTTCCCGCAGAGCTGTGCTGTGGTGTGGTTGGGGACCTCCCTGACCGGGCCCTGGGCACACCGTCCACAGTTGGCCTGGCTGATGGTGGGCGTGGCCTCTGCCTGGAGAGGGTTGTGGGTGTGGCACCCTGGGGCTGTCTTGGGGTCACTTATGCTGGGTGGGGTACAGGCTCCCACGGGTGGCAGGGCTGCCCCGGCAAGGGTCCCTTATGTGCCCTGAGAAGCGCACCCTGAAGTCCTTGACCCTCTGTGGTCCGAGGACCAGCAGTGGTCATAGCCCCGTCCTCCTGGGAATCTGCCTCTTCTCTGGGCTTGTAGGGGGCGGGACTGGTGCCCAGCAGTTTGCCCCCCACCCACCCACTTTTGCTGAGGGGCCAGCTGCCTGAAGGCTGGAGAGCAGAGCTGGGCAGGCGCGGCCAGGTCCTCCCAGCCACGGGCCGAGTTTCTCCCTGCCTGGTCCTTCTAGAGGACATGTGTCCACCCTGGACTTGAGTCGCAGCTCCCAAGTTTGGGTGCCCTTGGGATGGCCTGGGAAGTGGAACCAATAAAGGTTGCTACCCAGCCGGGGACCCTGGTGCTCTTGGTGTGAGGTGTGCCCAGGCGGCCGACTCTGCAGCTTGCCCCTGCGTCCAGCAGTGCGCGTCTGTGGTCTCATGGGTAGAGCCTCAGGCCCGGGGGCTAGAGCCAGCAGCGCCCACCTGCACCTCGTGGGGACTGTGGTGGGGCCTCCGGGGCTGCCTGGGTCCGCGGGAGAGGGGAGCAGGCCTCCAGGTGACCGCCAGGCCCAAGGCCCATGGTCACGCCCTGGAGGGCATATCCTCAGGCCGGGCCTGCCTGGCCATTCTCCCTGTGAGCAGCTGTGGGGACACAGAGCGGGGGGCGGCATGTGGACCTGCTGTGAGCCCTGGCCCTGCTGGTGGCCAGCTTAGTGCCCACCCTCCCGCTGCCTCAGTTTCCTCTTCTGTGAAATAGACTGAGGTGGAGGAGTCCTGCTGGCCTCCAGTGGTCGGTGACAGCAGGCCTATCAGGGGCCAGCAGAGYCTCCAGGGGTGGACGGCAGAGAGGGGTCACAGGGATGCCTCATGTCCTGGCCAGCGTGGTGAGGGGAGACCCAGCCAGGGCTTGGGGACCGTGGGTCACACATCCTGGGCCACCAGGTGAGACTCAGTTGGCTGTGCGGGGAGGACATCCGCTGTGTCAGGCCCATGGCTGAAGCCCTGAGGTGTCAGTGAGCCCCATCCGTCTGGCCTAGGGGACAGTGGGCAGATGTATCAGGGGGTGACCTGAGGGCCATGTGGCCCCTGCCCCCACTGGGAGGGTCAGAGGGAAGAGCTTCTAGAGGGGGACACAGCTGAGGACGGCCTTGAGTGGCCAGGCTTCCGTGACGTGCCCCTGGCTCTGGTGCTGGGTGCAGGTGTTCAGGGAGCCGAGAGCAGAAGTGGCCTGCGAGGCGGCCCCCGGTTCTCCCTCCCTGGGTCCTGCCACCCCCCTCCACCCCGTTCCCTCCCTGCCCACCTCAGGCACCCGTACCAGGGCATGCTGTGGAGTTACCAGGGCCACCATCCTGGCCCCTGCCTGCAGGGACGGCTGCAGCGGAGGTGCTGCCTGCTGGGCATCGCCCTGGGAGCCTGTGCTGGCTCAAGGACACCTGGCAGCCTGCGCGTTGACAGGCAGGGGGCAGGCCCAAGACCCTCCCCTGGTCTCTCCCTGGTTGGGAACCCCATGTGACGATGTGACGAGCCTGACGTCAGGAGCCTGGGGCACACAGCCCTTCCCACTTGGCTCTCGGAGGGGGAGGGCCTGGCGGGGTGACTACCTGCAGGGAGTCCTCCGGTGACTGAGGAGAGCCGGGGTGGCCCTCAGGAACCAGGCGGGGCGAGGGCAGGGCAGGGTGCGGGAGGAAGCCTCAGTTCCTATCTGGAGGGCAGGTCAGCAGGCCAGCGCTAGCGATGCGAGTGACACCAAAGTTGAAAGCTGTAGTCCCCAGTGAGGAGGTTGGCCTCTCCAAGCCCCTTGGACCCGCCTTGTGAAGCGGCCTGTTCCCTGACCCCACGCAGGAGGGAGCGCCGTAGCCGGGCTCAGCGGCCACCTGCCTCACACAGGCCCAGGGCTTCGGGAGACTCTAGAGAAGGGGGCGTCCCCCACCTTCCTGTGTTACAGACCTGGAGACCGGGGTAGAGGTGGCCTGAGCTCCTTGCAGGCGGGGTTCGGTGTCGGGTGGGTCCCAGGTCTCCCTCAGGTGGGTCCCTCGTGCCCCCCCAACTCTGGATGCCAGATGCCRTCCTTGGTGCTCCGTAAGGGGCCTCTGGCTCGGGCCTCCAGCCCCTGGTCGAGGCCCTCTTGCATGGTTCTCACCGTTAGGGAGAAACCAGAGCACAGAGAGGTCAATACTCTCACCGAGGGTCACAAAGGCACTGGGCATAGGAGGCAGGGTGCCCCCGCCAGTGCTTCCCACACCTCCCCTGCAGGGTCCTGAGCCTGGTCCTCCTTCCCCTGCATGCCAGTGGTGCCCAGCGGCCCCCAGCCACTGCTGGCTATCTCCTTGCCCCTGTCCCTGCCCACTGCATACCCACCGGTGGGGCTCAGGTGTGCAGGAGCACCTGCCTCACCCTGCTCTTCCATCTCCCCTCCCTGGGCTGCAGCAGCAGCAGCAGCAACAGCAGCAGCAACAGCAGCAGCAGCAGATGCCCCGCAGCAGCCAGGAGGAGAAGGAGGAGAAGGAGAAGGAGAAGGAGGCGGAGAAGGAGGAGGAGAAGCCGGACTTGGAGACCGACAGGGAGGAGCTGGTCAAGTAAGGCTCTCCCTTGCCCTGCTCACCCGCCCACCCTCCTCTCCTCCACCTGCTCCCAGTCTCCTTGGGGGAAGGTCTGGGGAGCCGGGTTTGGGGGTGGCTGGAGCGCTCCCCTGGAGACAGCGGTGTCAGGCTGGGCTGCATCCAGGCACAGCCTGCCGGGCCTGACGCCTCCCTACCTGCCAGGGGAGCAGGAAGTCAGCCAGCTGGCGAGGGGGCAGCCGGGAGCCAGGCACCAGGAGCGTGGCTTCAGGGAACATCTGGCTGGCCTCCCCGGCCTCCCACGCCACCCAGCTGGGCCGTCCAGGAAGACGAATGGCAGGCACGGTGGCCAACCTGCACAGTCACCTTCCTGAGCCAGCCCCAAGGGCGTCCAGCTCAGGTTGAGGCCCCTGTACCAGGCCAGGCCTGTGTAAAACCTGCAGGGCCCCCCCGTCCCCTCAATACAGGAGAGTGGGGTGTGGTGGCTGGACAGTGCTCTCCGAGGTGGGCACCAGGCCATGTAGCAAGTGCCCAGGTTGACCGCTGGGCAGTCCATGAGCGTGGGTGGCTCTAGCCTGTGACCTGCGCTGGGTTCATGAAAGAAGGTTCAAGTCGTGAGAAAACGCTAGGGAGTTTTAAATTAAAGAGACAAGACTCTAATTACCTTTAAACCAGCTCCAGGACGGCTCCTCCCAGCTCCAGCCTCCAGCCACCTACTGTGGTAGCCAGGTTTACTGAGGAGACCAGAGAGAGAGAGAGAGAGAGAGAGCACACACCAGGGAGTGGACTTTTATTGGGGAACAAAAAATTCCAGGGAAAATCCCATCCAATGAAGGTTAAGGGGGGCAGCATCCCAAGGTCAGGGGTGACAATTGGGTCTTTGGGGCAGTGGCCAGACACGCCTCTGCGTGGACAAGCCCTCGGACCTGATGAGAAGGGTGGGGACAGCTCTGACCCAGCTGTGCCTAATCGCCTCTCGCCCAGCCAGGGAGGTAACTCAAATCACCTGAGAGGCTGGCCTCCCACAGGTGGCGCTGCAGACCCTGCCCGCGGAGAGTCCAGCCTGGCTCCGAGGCAAGGCGAGGCCTCCAGCCGCCCTGTGACTCCGTGCTCCCCAAGCCACTCCTGTGTCTCCTCTTGGCCTTTAGGGAGAAGACCGAGGACACCTCTGGGGAGGACAACGATGAGAAGGAGGCCGTGGCCTCCAAAGGCCGCAAAACTGCCAACAGCCAGGGCCGCCGCAAAGGGCGCATCACCCGCTCAATGGCCAACGAGGCCAGCCACGAGGAGGCGGCCACCCCCCAGCAGAGCGCCGAGCTGGGTGAGGGCCGGGTGGGTGGGTTTTGAGTTCGTGGCCTGCAGGCGGCCGCGTCCTGGTGGCCAGAGTTCAGGTCCCAGCGTTATCCGCTGGACTTGCTGTGTGACCTGGGGCAAGCTCTTCAGCCCCAGGGCCTCGTGTCCTCTGTGCCGCCTCTCACTCTGGGGCGAGGGTAACTGATGTGTCCCGTGGGCAGAGCGCGGAGGGTGCTGGGGTGCGGGCCTCGGGGTGTCCCCTGTGTGACGCTGGAGGACGGTTCCCTGGGTCAGCTCTGCCGTTTGGCCTGGTCCACATCCTGGCAGCAGCTGAAGGGTGACTAGTTGCCGCCCCTTTCGGGTCTTGGGCTTGACCCCTCTGCAGCCCGGCCTCCACCCTGGCAGCCCCTGAGCTCCCACCTCCCCTCCTGAGCTAAAGGAAGGGCCCTCACTGCTCAGACTGCGGCCAGAGACCAGGCCTGAGTGGCAGTTCCCAGGTCCGCCACAGGGGGCAGCAGGTGCGTGTCTGTCCCCTCGGTTCCCCTGTGGTGTTTGGGGCCAGCCCTGTGGGGACCAGGTGAAGCCCGGCCTCTGTCCAGGACTCCTTCCTGGCGTGGGCCAGTGGGGAGAGGCTCGGCCTCCAGGCTGCCTGGAGTCTGCCCTACCAGGCTCTTTGGGGGCTCCCGGAAGCTAGTTTGGACCTGCTTTGTACAGGGGCTGCCCGAGGCTGGGCAGGCTGTGGCCTCTTGAGGTCACAGAGGTAGCTGGGGTCTGAGCTGGGCACAGCAGCTGCAGGTCTACTTGCTTCCTGGATGTTTGCCCGCTGCCACCCTGTGTCGGTGTGCCTGGAGTCCCGCGGTGGAGGCTCACCTGCCTGGTCTCTGAGATAGCCTCCACTGCAGCCCAGTCCGGCTCCGGCCTGTCCACCTGCCTCGGGGACTCTGGGCTCCAGGGAGGCTGCTGGGGTGGCCTCTCCAGATCGAGGTCACTGGCCACATGACCTCTGCTGAGACTGGTCTCCTCTGCCAGCCTTTGTGGGCCACCCTCTGTTGCTGAGTCCAGGAGTGGGCGTCCCTCAGGGCAGCTAGGAGGGACAGCTGGGCTCATGTCTCGGGAGCAAGGAGGGGCTGAGTAAAGGCTACAACAGATGAGCGGCCACCTCTGCCCCAGCCCAAGGCGAAGTGCATCCCCTCAGTGACGCCAGGGGCTGGGCTTGTCCTGGGAGAACATGACCACTCTCCAGGACCAGAGTCCTTGACCCGGGGTGGTCATGCCTGTGGGGACCTTAGGTCCCAGCGGGAGTGGGCTGCGGGCATCCTGAGGCCGGGCCTGGGAACAGCAGAGCCCAGGAGCAGGGCACAGTCCAGCCTGAGTGCAAACCGGGCCCTGGGAGCTGCCACCTAGGCCCACCCTGTTCCCCTGCCTCAGGCCATCCCCAGGGGCCACCGTGTTCTGGCAGAGTACAGGCAGGGAAGGCAGCATAGCCAAGGCCACTCCAGTTTTCCCACCGGTGAAGGGAGTGGTTTCAGTTGTCCCAGTGTCCCCTGAGTGGAGGCTGTGAGTGGAGGCTGTGAGTGGAGGTCCGTGGTTCCACTCAGCCCAGGTCCTGCCCTGTGTGTGGCTTGAGAGTCGGGAGCTGCAGCGGGTGCTGGCTGGGAAGGGCCACCTGAAGTGCAGCTTCTCCGTGGGGGTCAGAGAGGGAGGTGACCATTGAGGCCCCTTCCTAGACTCAGAGGAGAGGAAGTCTAGGCTTAGGGAAGCAGGGCAGGGCCTCCCGGGCACCTGCTGACCACTTTGCCTTCCTCCACAGCTTCTATGGAGATGAACGAGAGCTCKCGCTGGACTGAGGAGGAGATGGAGACGGCCAAGAAAGGTGGGCTGCAGCCCTGGCACTTGTGTGTGTGTGTGKGGGGGGGCTTGGCGCCCGTGGCCTGGCCCAGGGCCGGGGTGGGGGCTGCTGCCCCTCTGAGCCCCTCGCCCTCCAGAGAGAAAGGGTCTGAGTGACCCCGTGTGACGTGGAGACCCAGCCAGGAGCATATGGCCAGCTGTGCCACGGGCAGCACTGCTTCTGTGCTCTCTGTGGACAGGGCAGCGCAGACCTGGGCGATCCAGGGGGTCAGAGCTCGCTGGAGGCCACTAGGGTTGTGGGCCAGTGACATTTACAGGGCTTTTGGTCTCCATGGGCATGGCCAGCTCCAGTGCGGAGCTCGGGAGACCCCTCCTGGGCGCACAGGAGACCCCTCCTGGGCGCACAGGTGCTCCCATCTGGAAATATGTGCCAGGCCAATGTCCCTGATCCCAAGGGCGAGTCCTGGAGAGGACGGGGCCACCTACATGTCAGGGACAGGTGGGGACGGCCCACACTGAAGAGCTGGAAATGGGACTGAGATCTGGCATTGCCAGGGGGTTGTGGGGCGGATGCCATCCCAGCTTGCTGGTGACCTGTGATGTGCAGGGGATGGATCTAGGTCGTCCACCTCTTGGGCCCAGTGCCCACCTGTGCAGCCCCCAGGGTAGGCTGGGTGGCAGGTGCTCGAATCCCTGGTGCTGGTCCCATGGCCCGAGCCTGGCACTGAGCCCCACTCACAGGCTGTGGCCGGTCTCTGGGCTTTGACTTGCGAGTCTGAGTGGGACTGGTGTCCKGGCTTCCGCCAGGGGGGCGGGGGTCTGGGTGTAGGCGTCCAGGTGTCTGTGAATAGGAGAGGCGTGCCGGTGTCTGTGGGTAACGGGGTGTCCGGGTGGCCTGGTGTCTGTGGGTGACGGGGGTGCCCGGTGTAGGTGTCCTTGTGTCCTGGTGTAGGTGTCCTGGTGTAGGTGTCCTGGTGTCTGGGTGTCTGTGGGTGACGGGTGTCCAGGTATAGGTGTCTGTGGGTGGGAGGGGTGTCCAGGCTGCTGGGCAGGTCTGTTGCCCTCCTCACTCCCTGCCCTTCCCCCTGCTCCCGGGTGCTGAGGTGGCTGGCAGTGCCCCATTCCCTACTTTGCCTGGTGGCTATCATTTACCTGCCCCTGACCTGGAGGTGGCCCTGTCCCCGTCCCACATCATAAACAGGGACAGGAGCAGAGGCTAAGGGCTGCTCCGAGGCTTGGAGCTGGTGCTCGGGGATGGGCAGCCCTGGCCGCCGGCTCTTATCCACAGGCTCTGCCAGGCTGGGGCTCTCGTCTGCAGGAGGTGCGGGTCTGGGCTCGCGGTGAAGCAGGTGGCCTCCGGGAGGGCTGGTGCCCGGGAGCGGCCTGGGTGCGGCTGTCTGGTCCCGCCCTCACCTAACACTTTGGCACAGTTGCCGAGAGGCCAGGGCTGAAACTGCCCAGTGGGGCCACAGAGCTGAGAGGACCCTTCGGCCCCCACACTCCTGGACCGCTGCCCTTCCCCTCGGGGCCTTCTGGGCACCAGCCCCTCTTCCCAAAGGTGGGCTCAGAGGAAAACCCGGGACCCCTGGCTCTGCCCTGCGTCCTCTTGAGGATCGAGGCGCTGTCTGGGCTGCTAGGGCTACCATGTCAGTCTTTATGTCCACCTGGCGGCTCCCATTGCACGTCCTGAGCAGGCCAGTCCTTTGCACTGAGTTCTGGTGGGGGACACGTGCTCATGGCAGTGGCTGGAATGAAGCCTACGGTGGCTTTGAGCAAAGCCCTCCCCCAGTCCAGAGCCTTCGCTCTCCAGAGCAAGTCCCATGCCCATTAGCCGCCCGCACCGGCCACGCCCTGGGCTAATGGCTCTGGGCCCTGGGACCCGCTGTTGAAAGCCTTGCTCCAGCCGTGTCGGGGGCTTTGGTGTCCTCAGGTCCACTGCGAGGTGTCCACGGGATGGGCCGCATGTGCTCCTTCGTTGGCTCCTCTTTGGGGGTGGGGGGGCCGTCCCTGGCGGCTCCTGTGTTCTGGTGAAGGGCCCACGGCTACTGACCACAGGTGTGTCCTGGGATCTCGACCTGTTGGCCATGGGAGTACCCCAGCTACATGCGTGGGGGTCTCCGCATGGACGGCCCACGGCCTCTTGGGTCCTATATGCGCGTCTCTGCCCTCACCGCAGCCCACCGCCATTGCCTGGACACCAGGAGGTGGCCGCCTTCTGGTTCCCAGGAGGGCAGACCTGGAGGCGGGAGGGTGGCGGGGATGAGTCACCCGAGGCCTGGGTGCCCCGGCCGTCTCAAGGTTGGGTCTGCAGCCTGGTGAGCTCATCCCGGGTCCTGCCTGCAGAGACGCAGCGAGGGCCCTGGGTCCCTGTGCGTGGGGCCTGCTCAGTGACATTTATGATAATGCTGGAGCGCTAGTGTGCCCAGCTGCCGGGAATCACAGTGATCTTCACGATCATGGCTGGGTGGCTGCTCACGGCCATCTGTTCCAAGTAGGGGTGGGGAGCCAGGTGCTGGCAGGGGTCCCTTCTCTACAGTGGGGTGTGGTGGCTGGGCGTGTCCTGGAGCCCTGGCCTGGCCCTCGGAAACCCAGAAGGAGAAGGACCCACGAGCCAGCTGTACCCAAGGCAGATGGCATCCACGTGGAGCCAGGGCACTGGGGTGGAAGCCTGTCCCCACCCGTCAAGGAGCCCAGGAGCCCAGCAACTGTGTGTCCCCAGGTTTGGGACCACAGAGCTGGCCAAAGCATCTGGAAAGATTCCTAGCCTGGCCTCAGGGTGAGCTGCAGGAGAAGAGTTGTCTCAGCCTCCAGACCTCCAGGCTGTGTGACCTCGGCCCAGTCAGCCAACCTTTCTGTGCCTGTTTCTTCATCTTGGCTGGGTGATCTCGAACCTACAGGAGGCCAGAAGTCCAAGATCAAGTGTCAGAGGGCCCGTTCCTGCTGGAGCCCCAGAGGGGCCTGCCTTGTCTCTCCACCCTTGGGGTGACCGCTGCCCGTGGCACGTGCCTCTCCCGGTGTCTCCGCGCCCGGGTGCCTCCCTGTAGGGACGACCTTGTCTTGGCCACCTTGGCAGAAGCCCCTTACCTGAATTGGGCTCACGGGTTCTGGCTGGGCAGGATGGGGACGTGTCAGCCCAGCATGGCTGCCCCGGGGCTGGGGTGCTAGCTGAGGAGCTGGGGCAGGGGTGCCTTAGGCGCACCGAGGTCCCCGTCACTCGCGACCTGGCCTGAGCCAAGTGCGCTCAGTCCTCTGTATGCAGCAGGTGCTTGGGTGGTGCCCACGGCCCGGTGTGCAGACCGCAGAGCGTCCTTCTTGGGTCCGAGCTCCAGCTCCGCCCCTCTGTGTCTGGCCCTGACAGGGACCGCACCTTGGGGCAGCTGGGGCGAGCGCCTGCCCAGCAGGTGTATGGGGACCGCTGAGGCGTCCAAGGCCAGGGAAGGCTCCCCAGGAAAGGCACCAGGGTGGACCCCACAGCCCCAGGTAGCGCTGCCCGGATGCTGGGTGCTGGGGCTGGGGGAGGCGCGTCTTCCCGCGTGCTTGGAGGCGGCTGCTGAGGAGTTCCTTCACCTGCGTGCGGCAGTGGTGGTCTGAGAGGTGACCTGCTATTACGGCTGTGGAGTCCTGGGGCTGGGATTGGGACCCAGGCCCTCTAAAGCATGGTAGGACTGAGGACTTAGTCCAGTGCACGGTTACCAGGTAAGGAGAGAGGGAGGGTGGCCCAGCAGAGGGCCTGCCGTGTGCAGGTGAGAGCTGCGGAAGCCCGAGGATGAGTTGCCAGGGTCACTGGTGGAGTTGGGCTGTTGTGAGAGCATGGGAGGCCCTGGGGGCCACGGTCACTGGTGTGTACATGAGGTTAGGGCCATCTGCCCTGGGCCCAGTGCCATGCTGGGTGGGAGGAGCTGGCCCCTGCTGCTGGGATGCAGGACTCTGGTTCCCCTGGGAAAGCCAGCCTGGCCCAGAGTGTGGCCCTGTGGTGCTAGAGGCCCGGCCAGCCCGCTGCTCCTCCTGTTGTGGAGGGTGGGGAGCCTCACAAGTCCCCCAGAGCAGGAGTGGGCCCCGCCCTTGCCCTGCCCCTCCCTGGCCTCCAGGCCGTGGGGGGAGAGCCCGCTGGCCTCAGCCCTCCTGGGGGCTCTCATGGTGGACGGAGTTGAGGGGAGACGGGAGCTTGTGGATAGCCCTGGACATGAGTCCTACCCGGCCACCAGCACTGGGTCAGAGGCTCATGCTGTCCCTGAGGACAGGCCCCGCCAGGCCGACCTCCCGTGGCCTGGGCAGCTGGGGCTCATGCCTTGGTTCACACGTGGGGGGCCGACGTGTCCATTCACACAGTCACACACAGGCAGGCGGGCCTGGGGGGCGAGTGACCCAGGCCGATGGGCAGGGCTGGGGACCGAGGCACTGGGAGGGACTGATGCAGGTCAGCTGCTGGGCCGGAGCGTGTCAGCCTGGGCCACACCTGGGGACACTTGTCTGGGCTGGGGAGGGGTCGAGATCCTGCAGCCAGGCACCCTTGCTGTGCTGGGGTGGACATGTCAGTGTCCAGGTTGGTCCCTGCGTGGCAGGGCCAGAGCTGTGCCCCTGTGCAGTGGTGACCGCATGCTGTGTGCCCTGGCCACTATGCTGTGATGCAGCAGAGCCCAAGCTGGGGCCTCAGAGGAGATGCCTGGCCCTGTGGCCTGGGTCCCCTGGGTCCCCTGGGTCCCCATCACTGCCTCCTGTCCTTGGAAGGGCAGCCTGGGGTTCTCCAGGCAGAGCCAGCGAGGTTGGGCCAGGAGGCCTCTTTGCATTTTAATGATTGTGTCCTTCCTGATGTCCTGGAAGGGGTGGCCTTGGGGACCCTGAGGCCATTGAGGAGGGGACAGGCCAGAGGGGAGGTGGGCGGCAGGGTGGGGTGTGGACCTCAGGACTAGCAGAGGTGGGCCTGGGCCTGTTCTGGGTCCCCAGGGCTCTGTCCCTGCTGGTGCTGCTGCCCCCCCCCCCCCAGGTGGGGGTCTCCTCTAAGGCAGGGCTGCTGGGTCGGGGGTTTTGTTTTTCAGATGAGCTTCTCAGGCAGGCGGGGGTGGGGCTGTGCCCCTTCTGCCCTGCTGCCCCTCAGGGCTGGACTCTGGGGAGAGCCCTGGACCAGGGTCTGCGCCGGTTTCCAGGGCAGGCGGCTGGCCCCGGGGACACAGTGGGAGGGCCAGGTGGGCTTCCAGGCAGGACTGTGCAGGCCCCATTGGCCCAGGTTTGGGGAGGACCCAAGTAGGACTGTTGCAGGAGCGTCAAGCCCTGGGGACTGCCTCACTGGGGCGGGCAGCGGTCGAGGTTCTTGGATGTCAGCTTGGAGTCCCAGGCCCTGAGTGGGCAAGGAAGCTGTCCCTGTGGCCGGCGACACCCCCCGCCCCCCGCCCCCCCCCCTGTGAACCCCTGCAGAGGGGCGCCCCTCACCCGCACTCCCGCCCCCTCTTCAGGCGGCTGCTCACTTCCTGTCTGGGTGATTTCACTTCCTAGTTCCCGACTCTTCAAAGTAAAACTCCTTCCTTAGAAATTAGAAGTGGAGCTGGGGAATCCAGACCGCAGGGCCAGCTCAGTGTGCTGCGGGGCGGAGTGGCTTCTGCAGGGGGACCCTCCTGGTGCCCTGCCAGCCTAACTTCCCAGGCGAGGAGCAGAGGGCCCCCGGGGCGCCAGCTGCCCCAGGCTCGGGCTCGGGTGCCTGGCACCTTGTAGTTCTTTGCCTAGTGCCTCCTGCGCGTCCGAAGCCCCCAGGGTAGACGAACAGCCACCGTGAGCATGGAACAGAAGAGCCCATTTCAGGGGGGACAGATGCCACCAAGATACTACAACTGAGGGGAGGCCCTGGGGGGGCCATCTCCCGTGGTTCTGAGAGAATGCCGGTCCCCACCCCCAGCAGGTGTGAATGCCCCGGGACTGCTGGTGGTGCCCTGAGCCAAAACCAAGGCCGGTGCCTGTCCTGCCTGTCCTGGGCCCTGGAGGCCTCTGGCTGTCCTCCCCAAAGTCTCCGGTCCTCATGGGAAGAGTGACACGGTGGTGGCCTCCCATGCCACATGGTGTGGATGGTGTGGCTCGGCACGATGGGCCTGGTCCCATTGGGACCTGCTGCTTGCCTCTGCCTGGCGCGGGCTGGTACAGGGCAACCCCAGGGACCCTCTGCCTTGGCTTCTGTGGCAGGGTGGCACAGCTGAAGCGAGGGAGCAGGGCAGGTCGATGACCGAGGCACAGAGGTGGCGCTGACCTGGATCTCACTCCAAAGTCCAGCTCAGTTGCCGTTCAGCCTCCCGGAGCCACCGGGGGGGGGGGGGGGCTGTTCAGCAGGTGTCCCCATGCATGGGCTGACCTGGTCCTCCAGGTCTCAGAGGACTGGAGAGGCAGCTGTGGCCCCAGACCTGCCCCACCCCAAACAGCTAGAGGCTCCTCAAACCCCGAGCTTCCTCCTGGAACACAAAGCCATCCCCTGCCCACTCGTTGCCCCCTTCGGAGGGCCTGAGTGGCTCAGTAGCAGGGCAGGTGGGGGGCAGACAGCAGGTGGAACTGGCAGGGAGGGGCAGCAGGAGAAGCGAGTGCTCCCAGTCTGCCGGGGAGAGCGCTGCCTCTCTGGAGCCCTGTCTGTTCTCACCGTGGCTGACGCCAGGACAGGGAGAGGAGGGGCTGTGCCAAGTGGGCCCGCCCCTCCTGGGCCTGGACCTCTGCCACGCACCCCCGCCCGCCCGCCAGCCTTGTCTGGAGGTCACATTCAGTCCTGACGCGGCTCGCTGGGTCGGGCAGCAGGAGGAGCAGAGGGAGCAGGCAGCAGGCTSCCCAGGGTGGAGGTTTTCTCCAGCTTGGATGTCGGGGACTTCTGACTAGTGTCCCTGGCTGTGTCCTCCCCGGGCATGTGGGTGCCTAGAGGAGCAGTGGACACTGCACCCTGGTGACGCCTGGCACAGGGGCACCCTGCACGCACCTCGTCCCCCTCCCCCACTGAGAAGGCTCTCTCAGCTCCTCACTGTCGGAGGTGGCTGCTCCCTGGGAGCCCTGGGCCACCAGGCGCTGGGCCGAGCTGCTGCTGCCCGCCCTCTGAGCGGCCTCCGCCCGCCCACCCCTCCCCTCCTGGCCGCTGAGGCTGAGCCGCGAGGAGCAGAGCAGCCGCAGCTCCGTGGCCGCCAGCTCCCAGCTCCTGCTCCCAGCCCCGCTCCCTGGAGCATCCTCCCAGCCGGATGTTTCCGGAAAACTTGGCCGAGGGGGAGACGCGGATAAGAGGATGTGAGTGAGTGGCCCCGGGGAGGGGCTGGGGACTGCGGGTGCCCGGGGACAAGGACCTTGATGAGGCTCTCAGGAGAGGGCAGCTGGGGGTGGCAGGAGGACATGGAGCCTCGTCCAGCAGGGACCCCTGGAGGGAGGGGCCCCTGGGTCTGCAGGGAGGGCTGGCTCTGTGGCGGGAGCCTGAGACGCTGCCCCCTGTGCTTGGACATCAGCTGGGGCCCCAAGCAAGCCCCTGGAAGTCCATGCCCCAGAGGCCCTGGCCAGTCCTCTCCACAGAGGCACAGGGGCGCAGGCCCGTCCAGGGTCTGGGGCACCAGGTCTCAGGGAGGCAGCCCCCGCCCCTGGTGCCCCCACCCATTGGTGGAGTGCGTGGAGCTGCTCCAGCCGCCTCCTTGTTTATCTGTGGGGGTTGGAAATGTCGGCCCCCCTGGGGTCTCCCCGCAGACCCAGATGGGAGACCTGCCCCCGCCCCCGGGTTCCAGGCCCGTGGTCCTCCTTGGCCAGCCAGTTTGCCTGGACTCCGGCTCCGGCTGGGAAATATAAATAAACGCAAGTCCCGTCCGCTGGTTCTGGGGCCGCAGCTGCTGCTGGCGCGGGCAGCAGGAAAGGTCAGGGGCTGAGTTACACTTGATCCTACGCCCCGGGCCCCCCCCCCCCCCCCCCGCGCGCCTGTCCTTGAGGAACCCTGAGGAGCTGGTGTGGGGCCACGTGGCTGCTGTGGCCGCTGCAGGCAAGCAGGTGGCCTGTCCAGCGCCACCCCCACCCACAGGCCCAGAGGCCAGCAGAGCAGGAAGCGGGCGCCACACCTCCTCTGCCCTGTGGCCTGTGCCGTGAGCTCGGTGAAGTGGCTGACCCCCTGAGCCCCAGCTCTCCGTCCTAGGGGTGGGAACATGGCCACAGCCTGGACAGGAAGCAGGGGACTCACCAAGTCCCTGGAGGGCTTGGTCACAGAAGGCCCACTCGGCCCCCAGGGGTGGTCGGTTGGGTTTGTGCTGCCGCCGTGTGGGAGCGCGGTGGTTGCGGGCCGGACGGGCTCAGGCCTGAAGGAATGAGCGGGTGGGAGGTGAAGGGAACCCTGGCCCCGCCCCTGTAGGGCAGCTTGAATGACCGGAGCCAGGTGGCCTAAAGCCTGCCTGCAGGGTCTCTTGTCATAGTCCTGACCCGTGTGGCCCTGGGGCTCAGAGACCCCCTTCCATCTCGTCAGTCCTGGGAAGGTGGCTAGCCTTAGCTGCAGGCCGCTTGGGCCAGGGCGGTCACCCTGCCGGCTTCGGAGCAGGAACACAGGTTGGGCAGGTGGGCAGCCAGGCCTCTGAATGCAGCCTCCGTGTTTCTGCTGAGGTTGAGGTTGGTAGCCTCCAGGGCAGGAGGGGCAGGTGCAGCAGTGGCCCAAACTAGGGAGAGCAGGGATGCTGTGGCCAGGGTCTGCAGGTTCCTGGGCCTTCCTCACACCAGGTGGTCTGGGAGGCTGGGGGACGCTCTGGGCAGTAGGCGCCTGCGGGCAGATCCACTCCCGCTGCTGACCAAGCCAGGTGGGCCTCGTGGCCAGTGGGCCTCTGGGTGGCCCCTTAGCCTGGGTGCATCCCGGCCCCCGCCCTCCTCTTCCSGCTCGCCCATGGTGTGGCCGGAAGGCAGTCCCGTCTCCCAGGGCCTCGGCAGCTGTGGGGAGTGCCTCTGGGTCACCCAGCCCGCCTGGCCCGCAGGCAGCTGGGGCGGGGGTCAGCCCCCAGATCCTGAAGGGGGCCCCTGGCCCTCTGCCCTCYGCCGTCACCCTGTTCCTTGAGCCCAGGCTGTCCCCAGCCTCACCCACGCCTCTGCCTGCAGGTCTCCTGGAACATGGCCGGAACTGGTCGGCCATCGCCCGGATGGTGGGCTCCAAGACAGTGTCGCAGTGTAAGAACTTTTACTTCAACTACAAGAAGCGGCAGAACCTCGACGAGATCCTGCAGCAGCACAAGCTGAAGATGGTGAGTGCGCGGCCAGGGGCGGCCCTCGCTTGCCCAGGGCTGCTTCCAGCCTGGTCCCAGCTCACTCCCAGCAAGGGAAGGTGCCACACGGGTCTGCGCTGACTCAGCCAGGAAACCGCGGCCTCAGAGCCTCGAAAGAAGGCCCAGGAGCCCATCAGTGGCTGCTGCCCTCCGTCAGTGCCTCAGTGGGAGGGAGCTGGCCTGGGGGCCTCGAGGGCTGGAGGCCCAGCCCTCCTGTGGGCTCAGGTGGCCTCCCAGGGCCCAGACTCCCTGAACAGCTGTTTCTGGGAGTTGAGGACCATTTGGGGAGGCCAGGCGCCTGCCCCTCCTCCTGCCCACTCCCTCCCTCTTCATCTCCCTTGGATACATTTGATGAGCATTTTCACGATTTTAAAACTGGGAACAAGCTCAGCCAGGATGCCGGCCACTGAGTTAGGGTGTGAGCCCCGGGTGAGAAGCACTCCCCACCCCACCCCCACCCCCCACTCCCGCGGATCTGCTGTGGCTCTGAAGGCTGGAAAGGCGCCCCACCTGGCTGGACTGAGGTTGTGCTGCACGTTCTGGGCAGCTGGTGTGCTGAGTGCAACCTGCTGAGGCCCAGAGAGAGTGAGCAGATCACACAGCACATGGAGGCCGGCCCGGGGTAGCATCACCCATTAGAACTGTCCTCAAGCCCACTGAGAATTTGAGGGCCCCATTCCAGCTCTCCTGGGGGGTTCTTTCTGAACCACGTGTGCTGTTGGCTCCAGGCCAAGGGGAAGCCATCCCATGTCCCTGGCATTCCACTGAGGCAGGGCTCCCTGCCCTTGCCCTCCAGATGGGGCCTTAAGTGGTGCCTCGGGAGTGGGCTTCAGACAGGGCCCTTGTCTCCTGGGTCCACAGGGACTTCAGGGCAGACTGCGGAGTGGGGTGGGGCGTGACCTGGCCAAGTCCGTGTACCAGGTCAGGAGTCGGAGGTGGTCAGCACAGGACGGCCCAGGGGAGAGGGTGGCCTGGAGCCCCTCCTGGAAGCAGCGTCCTCCTTCCCCCTGCCCATCCTCCTGTCCCCCCCTCGCTGTCCCCTCCTCGGGTCCCGGCCTCCCCGGCTCCTGCCAGCCCTGCCTCGGGGCTCGGGATCCCTGCCACTGGGCTGCCCCCGGCCCGGCCTCCCCCTCCAGCCCTCCTCAGCGGCCTCCCCTTCATCCCCGAGGACCTCTGGACCTGGGGACTTGGGGTCCAGGGCCTAAGGCTCCCACGGGTGAGTGGTCTGAGGACAGGGTGAGTGCCCGTCTGCGTCTTGCGCTGCGAGCCCTGGGCTGGCCTCAGTCTCCTCCTGTGAGGTGCTGCCCTCGGGGGCGCTGCTGCCCTCGGCTCGGGTGGGGAGGACCCAGGTCCGTCCCTGGGAGGCACTCCGGGTGACTGCCCGCTTCCAGCTCCTCCTGTTCCGTGGGTGTTGTGCAGCAGTGGCCACGAGGGTGTGGGTGGACAGAGGGCAGGAACTCCAGGCCCACGAGACCCAGGCACGAGCCCAGCTGCTCAGGGTCTCTGTGGCCTCCACCAGGTGACTTGCCCTCTCTGCCTCTGCCTCTCCACCTGTGACGGGGACCACGAGCACCTGCCTCCCGGGCTGTGAAACAGCAGCTTTGGGTTAACGCCTGTGGGTACTGGGAGGGGGCCGGCAGGTCACTAGCGCCCTGCCCTAGTGACGTCCGCAGGGGTGCTACGTGGAGCCGTGCACATGCCGTGACAGCCGGCGTGTGGTCTGGAGGCCTGTGGCTCGGGCTCCTGGCCTCACTCTGGGCCTCGGTTCCTGTCCAAGAGACGGGAAGAGAGGACCCAGGGCCTGGATGTGAGCGCTATTGGTGCTATGGACCCCTCCCCAGCGCCTGCTGTCTGCCACAGAAGCGACAGCAGGTCTCCTAGGGACAGGTGCTCGGTGGGGTTTTCCTGCTGGGCGTTTCTTCAGTGGGCCATGGGGAGCCATTGATGATTCTTGAGCTGAGCAGCAGCCCACCCAGGGCTGGACTCAAGGTGGACTGTCCTGGAGCTGGATCAGAAAGGGCCCTCTGCGTCCCCCTCTCAGAATGTGCAGGTCGTTGGGCCCATCACCCCCGGCCTGTGGAGGAGGCGTGGCCCAGGGGAACCCTGTCCTGACAGGACAGTGACTAGGGAGTGTGGGAGGGTCCTCTCTCCCAGCTGGCCTTGAAGGAGCCTGATGAACAGGGGAATCAGAGGCACAGAGTTGAGGGAGGCCCAGAGCCCGCAGTTCTGTCCTGACTGGYGGCCCGTGGGCCGGGTGACTGCCCTGTGGCCCCTCAGACGCCCCTGAAATCAGCACCCCTGCCCCTGCACCCTCTAGCCCTGGGGAAGAGGCAGGTCCCCGGGTGGCTGGTCACCCTCGGCCAGCAGGGGGTCGGCGGGCACCCCCACCTTGCCCCAGGCCTGGCCTGGACGTGGCCACCACAGGGTCAGCAGGAAGCAGGACTGGGAGGGCAGCAGGCATGTGGCTCCCACGTCCCGAGAGGCTGCCCTCCCCTCCCCATGGCCGAAGGTTGCCCTCTTCTCCCATCTGGGTCCAGGCCCCAGGGCTCAGCTTCCATGACTCCCAGGCCCGGCCAGGCCTCGCCTGTGGTCTGCCGTGGGCTGCACAGACCAGGTCCAGGCAGAGGCGGTATGAACTGACCTCACCTGGGAGCTGTGTGGTGTCGGGCAGGTGTCTTTGCTTCTCTGAGCCGCGACCTCATCTGTTGGCCGATGTGGTTGCCTGTTCTTTCCAGGCGCTGTCCTGGTATGGAAGGAAGGGAGCTAAAGACAGGCCGTGCCGTGTCCTGGGGGAGAAGCAGCCCCAGAGACCAGAGGACAGGGGGTCTTCTCAGGATGTGTGGCGGTGGGGGATGGGGCGGCCACTCAGTGTGACAGGGAGGCCCCTGAGGCCTGGTAGGGTAGGGAGACGTGAGCCCTGTGGCCGTCTGGGAACGGCCGTGCCAAGGCCCTCGCCCAGGCCCTTCCAGATGGGCACGTTGTGCGCCCAGCAGTGGGAGAGGTGGTGGGGACTGGACACGGTTGGGCTGGAGGGTTGGAAGTCCTCTTCGAGGACTGTGGGTCCAGCGAGTTGGCACCTGGGACGTGCTGGCTGCACACAATAGGCACCGCCTGGGGCGCGGAGGTGGTGGCAGGCCGCCWGCCACCCCTGTGCTGTCACACCTCAGGAAGCTGCGGTGCTGCCGCAGGAGGGCCACCCAGGCCAGCCTCTGGGCCCTCGGGGCGTCCACCTAACCACCTGTRTCCAGGGCTCAGTGACCTCCCTAGAGAGGGTCTTTCGTTTCCAGGGCACTGTGTCGGCCGGGTGACCCATTCCTGCCAGGCCGCAGCATGCCCTGTGCCCACGCTGCCCGGGCAGCGGTCGCCCACATCACCCAGCGCAGCGCGTGCCCGAGTCCCCATTGGCTAGAAATAGATTGGGGAAGCGGGGGGACCCGGGGCCTCGCCACCACAGAGCTGCAGGCCACGACTCCTGTGCCGCTGGGCTCGCGCCAGGAGCCCTCCCAGGAAGGGCTCAGGGAGGGAGGGCTGAGGCCACACTGGGGGCCTGCATGGGCAGCAGAGCTGGGCATCCCCGTAATGGGGCTGTGGACGTTGGGCAGGGTGGGGCTGTGGCCCTCTGGCCAAGCGTTGGTGACGGAAACTCTGACTAACCAGCAGGCAAACGCTTCCCCTTCCCTCTGGCCCTCCCAGTGGCCACACTGGGACCTTGTCCACTCAGCAAGGGGACAAGACAGGAAGGGGTCCCACCCCGGGCTGCAGCTGCCCCCGGGGACATCTGGAGCGTGACCCCTGCTCCCCTGAGCTCTGCCTCCATCCTGGCCGGGCATCTGCTCCGGGGGCAGGTGCTGCCTTTCTGCGTAGGGTGGTCTTAGGCATTTCGTAGCTTCTGTCCTCTTTCCCGGAGACCCCGGAGTGCTCAGGCTGCATCCCTTCTGTCACTGCAGGCTGGGGACACAGGCCGCTCCCTGCAGTCCCTGGCCCCTGGCCCCCAGGCCCTCTCCACACACTCCCCGAGCTGATGGCTGCCTGGAAGCCAGTGACTCACAGGGCAGGTGCTTCCTGGGCTCAGCCTGACTTGGTGAGGAGAGATGTCCCTCTGGGAGAGGAACAAGGACAGGAGCTGTCTCCAAGCATGCCAGGAGGGCGAGGGCTTGGCTCCATGTGAGGGAGGAGGCAGGGAAGGGGCATGGAGCGTGGTGCGGCCAGCGGGAGGCTTCGCCACACGTGCTTCTTTCTGTTCCTCAAATGCGCCCATCTATGGCACTGCAGGGCCTTTGCATGTGCAGTGCCCTCCCTGGGCTGCACTCTCAGAACTGTGCCCGGCCAGTTCTCTCACCACTCAGGTCTTGATTCTTGTGCCAGCTCCCTGCAGTTTCCCTCCCTGGCTGTCCTCTCCCAAGCAGCCCTCGGGCCCACACCCTGTGCCCCATTCCTGAGTGGGTGAGGACCTAGAGGACACAGCCCTGACCCTCCCAGGGCCCTGCCAGCACCTGCGTCTTCTGGGGGTTTTGTGGCTCTTCCCGACCAGCCTGAGGGTGGCGGCCTTGCCTGCCTCACGCCCTGTGTCCCGCGGCCCCTCTGCAGGCCTGTAGGCCATAGGGGCTGAGACCAGGCCCTCCCGTGCTGGCCTGGCCTGGGCCAGCTGCCCACCGACCTTCGGGGCCCACAGGGAGCCCGGGGGTGGGGTCTCTGCGCTKCGGGTCCTCCAGGTCCTCACCTGCTCGGGAAGGGCAGTGTGGCTGGGGCCGGGCTGGGGTGTGCCCAGGACGTGGTGGACGAAGGAAGCCCTGGTAGAAATAGCCCCTGGCATGTGGCCCTGAGTGGAAGGTGGGGGAGGTGGCCCAGGGCCAGGTGGCCCTGCTCCTGTCCCTTGTAGCTGCAGCCAGGTCCTAGGCCTGGGGAGGCCCCGGGCGGCCAGCCCTGGCTGCGTCCCTGAGCCCTGCTGTCCGGTGCCCCAGGAGAAGGAGAGGAATGCCCGGAGGAAGAAGAAGAAAGCCCCGGCCGCGGCCAGCGAGGAGGCGGCCTTCCCGCCCGTGGTGGAGGACGAGGAGATGGAGGCCTCGGGCGTCAGCGGGAACGAGGAGGAGATGGCTGAGGAGGYGGAAGGTGAGCCGGCGCAGCAGCCTGGGGCAGTGGCTGTGAGTGGCCGTGACAGCTCCTCCGTGCCTGTACCTGGTGACGTCCCCCTGGGCCAGCAGAGGGCTACCTGCCACCTGTCCCGTGCCACCCCTTGGTAGTGGATTTACGTTCTGAGGTGGTTTCTGGGGGGAGCTGGGTCTAGTCAGCGGCTTTAGCGGACGCGGACCCCGGAGCTGCGCCGCCCGCGCCTCTGTCTATTCCCGAGTCCAGGCTCAGGTGGGCAATGACGGCGCCACTTCCTGCCGTGGGACCGAGGTGCAGGCAGCTCAGGGCCCCAGGTCACACCTGCACCCAGCCAGCTGTCCTAGTGGAGTCCTCACAGGCTTGGCGGGGAGCATGGGGACAGAGTAAGGTGACAGTGTGGGCCACCAGGCAACCTTTGGCACTCAGAAGGTGGGATTTGGTCACAGGAGATTGTTACACCCCCTCAGTGGCAGAGATGGGCCCTGTAAGACATGCTCTGGCTCCTGGTGTCTGTAGACCCTGACATCTGACCCCATGCCCCCAGTGACCGCCTTGTCCACCGCGACCCCCACCCTGCCCCCTTTTTCCCTGTCGAAGCTGATGGCAGCCCTGTCCCCACCCGCCCCTAGAGTACCTCTGAGGACCTGCTGCTTAGCCAGGCCCCCTGCCCAGTCCCCTGGCCACAGCACCCCGCCAGCCCTCAGGGCCCTGCTCCTCCTGCCACCTGTCAGGGGCTCCCTCTGTAGCTCTCTGTGTAGTCTCCTGGGCTCCAGGAGCCTGGGGAAGGAAGGCGCCAGCCCTGCCTCAGGTGGACCACACTCTGCCCCAGGTGTTCGCTTCCGGGTGGAACAGGGTCATCAGGTCCTCTGGCTGCTTGGGTCCAAGTCTGGGGCGGGGTAGGGACAGGTCTGGCTGCCTCCCTGCTGTGGGTCGCTCCCCAGGGCAGCCAGGAGCGCCAGGCCCTCGGGCATCCTCCTCCTCTGTCCCCTCCTGCTGTCCCTGTGGGCAGGCCCGGGCTGGTGGAGGAGAGCCAGGCCCCGCCGTGTCGGCCAGGAGCCAGGGTGGCAGGTCTCCAGCTACAGAGCTCACATGGGGTGGGGGCAGGATCCGTCTGCCAGGATTGAGGCTCCGATGTCACCTCGGAGCCCCCACAGCTGCAGCCTGGCACCCAGCTGGTCAGGGCTGAGGAGGGCCGGGTGGGGTCCGGGCTGCCCCGCAGAGTCTCCCAGAAGAACCGGCCAGCACCAGCAGGGCTTTGCAGCCCTGGTGGGGTGGGGGCACATGTGGCCCAGGCCTGCTCCCCCAGGACCTGTGCTGTGCTCCCTGCCAGGCAATCTTGAGCTGGTCCCCCGTTGTCACACAGCCTGGAGGAGGAGGTGGCTCATCCCGGGTATGGATGAGGAGGCCGAGGCTCTCCCCAGGCAGCAGTGCCCCTGGACGCTTGCTAGAGGTGCTGGTTTTCAGCCCCTCGCTGCACCTGCTGGATCCTCGCTGTGCTGTCCCCTGAGGGCCTCTGGTGAAGGCCTCTTCAGAGCAACGGGGAACAAACTGCGATTCAGAGGGTTAGACACTCGTCTATGGGGCATGGTCAGCTCCTGTGCTCTGTTGTCCCACCGTGAAGGGGAGTCACCACACAGGGAAGAAAGTTCAGTGGTTAGGGACACTGGCCACCAGGTTCAACACCCTGTGTCCTTGCTTTGTGGCCTTGAGCAACTGGCTCAGCCTCTCTGTGCCCCAGTCTCCTCATCTTGATGGAGGGCTCGCTGTCCTTCCTGGCGGCTGTTGAGCTCGGTTGTCACGCGTGACAGGCTTTGCGTGCAGCTTAGTGTGGTCGCGCGTCTGTGTCAACTGGTGTCATTTCTGGAAGGGGAGGTGGCCCTTCTCCAGGCCCTGGAGGGAGAAGAGAAGCAGGAAGTGCCCAGGGACAGTGGGGGACAGAGGAGGCTGGAGGGAGATTGCTTGTGGGCCATAGCAGTCCATGCTGGCCTGTCCCTCCAAACCCCACTCTGGGGTCCTGGGAACCTGGACCCATGGAAGGCCTCTCAGAGGGGCCAGACCTTGCTGCCCATCCTCTGTGGCCCTGTTACTGCCCGGCCATGGACAGGCCTGGACCTGCCTGCCTGGGATTGCTGCAGGTCCTGTAGCTGCTGGTGACTAGCACCGCGGGGGGCATGTTGGTCATGGGTCAGGGCTGTGGGGGACGGTGGGGCGCCGTGAGGCGTGAGGGCATGGTGGGCACCTGGCTTCTGACCATCTTGACTTCCTTCCAGCTGTCCACGCCTCTGGGAACGAGGTGCCCAGAGGGGAATGCAGTGGCCCAGGTAGGAATGTGGCGGGCTGGCCCCACGGGCAGGGCTCAGGTGGGAGGGAGCCCCATAATCACCTGTCCTCTGCAAGAGGCCCCCTGGGACCCCACTGTGCCTGGGAGCGCTGCTGTTGTGGGCCGCCACCCCTAGCCCCTGCCTGCCCCTGTTCCCTGCTGTCCCCGGCCTGCTCCTGCGCATCCTGCCTGTGGGGGAACCTTCCCACCTTTCCTGGATTGGCCCTGGGGACCCTCCTGGCCTGCTCCCCTGACCTGCTTGACTACAGAAAATGGGGGATGTTGAGACCCAAAGATGGGGCGGTGGTGTCCAGTCCCCAGCCAGGCCCTCCTCTGCCCTTGTGGTGTCCCCACCACCTCCTCATGCACCTGACCCCTGCACGTTGCCAGGTGTTGGTGGGTGCCTGATGGCCGTGGTCCTCCGCAGGCAGTCCCCTGCACTGCCCCTTGCTGGCTTGTCCACCTGTGGGCCAGGCACTATTCTCGAGAGGTGCCCCTACCCCTCCCAGGGTGCCAGCCAATGGGGGCAGAGCTGCACTGGGGCTCGGGTGGGGCCTGGAGACCTTTCAGAACCAGACCTGACTCCTGGCCCCAGGCCTGGTCCCTCTACTCATCCCTCTCTATTCTGTGTAGCTACCGTCAACAACAGCTCCGACACAGAGAGCATCCCCTCCCCCCGCACCGAGGCCACCAAGGATGCGGGGCAGAGTGGGCCCCAGCCCCCGCCTGCCCTGGGTGCTGCTGGGACCCCCGCTGAGCCGCCCACTCCTCCGCCTGAGGATGCCCCAGCCCCTGCCCCTGCCCAGCCCACCCCAGCTGCAGATGCCAGTGGCCCCCCCACGCCCCCACCTGCACCCGCGTCACCCGCGGTGCCCCCTCCTGCGGCCCCCAAGGAGGAGAAGGAGGAGGAGGCCACCGTGGCACCCCCAGCAGAAGAAGGGGAGGAACAGAAGCCCCCTGTGGCCGAGGAGCCTGAGGGGGACGCGGGGAAGATGGAAGAGTCTGGCTCAGTCCCCGAGGAGCCCGAGCAGGGTGACTGCAAGGAGGAGGCCGAGGAGGAAGGCCAGGACAAGGCCAGGGCTGGGGAGGCCAGCACGGAGGCCGCACCCGAGGGGCCGCTCAAGGTGGAGAAGAAGGAGGGCGGGAGCCGCAGAGCCCCCGCCAAGGCCTCGGGCGCCCCCCAGGACAGCGACTCCAGTGCCACCTGCAGTGCCGACGAGGTGGACGAGCCCGAGGGAGGGGACAAGAGCCGGTGAGTAGCCCGGGTGGCCCCCTGGAGGGCCTCCGAGCTCCGTGGGTTCAAGCCAGCCCTGCCTGTCCCCAGAGCCTGTGGCCATGGAGGGAGGGGTGTGGGCTCGAGTGGGACCTGGAAAGCAAGAGCCCTGGGGGCTGCGGGGAGCGCTGGCCCCGCACAGCCTCTCAGCTCTGAGGAGCAGGTGAGGGGGAGCCCTGCGGTCACCTGTCTTCTGCAGGAGGCCCCCTGGGACCCTCCTGTGCCTAGGGAGCACTGCTGTGCCCAGGTGCGCACAGGACCTGCTCCTCTGACAGCCCTGCAGGAGGGTCCCCCTGCCCCTCCCGCCTTGGTGGCCGCCCACAGCCCTCAGCTGGGCAGCAGCTCACAAGGTCACTGGCACAGGTACCTGGGTGATCACCTGAGCATCTGGGGACCCCCTCCTGCCCTGCTCTTGGTGGCAATGGCAGGTACAGAGGCCCGAACTCATTTAGGGCAGTGGGAGGACTCCAGGTGCCCGAGAACCTGGGCCATGGTCTGCCCTCTGCAGCCGGCCAGCTGCCGTGTGTGGAGCTGAGTGGGTCAGGCAGGATGGTCGGGATCTGGTGTCCTGGGGTGTGACGGACCACCACAGTTGGTACCACCAGGGTTCAGGAGAGTGGGGCCACTCGGCTCCCCAGCCTGGGCTCTGGGTGCAGTAGGTGGGGGTGTCCCCAAGGGGTGCCCTGCGACTGGGCAACTGGAGGGACTCACGCTGGCCAGGGACGCGCCTCGGCAGTGGGTCTTCCTGTCGTGGCGCACTTGCTCCGAGGGCCCCTGCCCTGGCCGACACAGAGGACCTAGCCCTCCAGTGCAGGTGCTGACACCCGAGGCCGTCCACCCGCTCAGGGCCATGGGGCACTGGAGGGAGAGCCGGGAGGCCGCGGTGTCTGGATGGCCGGGAGCCATGTCCAGCGAGGTAGGCGGGTCATTGTGTTTTGACTAAAAACAGTGCGGACTGTTTTCTCTTCTGGAGTCTCGGAAAAGTTCCGGGCAACGCAAGGGAGGAAACGCTGACCTCAAGGTCCACGCAGGGCCTTTGCACCAAGTGATTCACCCTGGGCGTGGTGGAGGGGCCGGGCCCATTGGTACAGAGATCCTTGCAGCGCCTAGGGCCCCTGCATTCCTCAAAAGGAGGTGTCTCTGTTGTCCCTGCCTCCTGCGCCTGGTCCCTGGGGCCCCGACAGATGGGAACCTCACTGCACACGTGCGCCCATGGCCTGACCGTAGCCCTTGGCTGGGCAAAGACCTGGCTGGCAGGTTTCTGAAGGCACCAAGTTCTTGTGCCTCTTGCCCGACGGGCGTGGCTTGGAAAACAGTGCTCAGGGCAGGGCGGGTCCCCCGGAGGGCGGAGGCCAGGGCCTGAGCTGGGGAGCAGGCAGGGGGACTGCTGTGCGCCCAGCTCTGCTGGCTGTGAATTCAGAGCCTTGGAAACACGTCCTGCTCCCAGGAAGAGCGCTGAGCTGTGGGCAGTCTACTGATAAGTGGCCTCCTAGAGGCTGTGTCTAGAGTCCACGTGGCCTTCCCAGGCTGGACAGTTGGAGGATGCATCCCASCAGCCCTTGGGCCTGGTGCCCCTTGGGCTGCTCTCCCACCCCATCCTCGGACAGGCCTGCCAGGGACGTGCCCTTCCCTCCTGCAGTGGGATCTGGAAGCCATCCCCCTTCCTGCCTCACGGCCAGCATTCAGCCCCCAGGGAACAGGAGCCCTGGGCTGGGAGTCAGGACACCTGGCTTGTCACACCCTGTGTGACCGGACTAGTCCCCGCCCTGGGGCCTGTCTTGTCCTCTTGGCGGATGGCTCTGGACTTGGGCCAGCCTGCGGCCTCTTCCTGGCTGGCAGCCCGCCATCCCTTCTCCGCCAGCTGTGACCACGCAGGGCCAGGCAGGCGCCGGAGGACGCAGGCAAGATGCGTCAGAGCAGGCCCCGCAGCCAGGGCCTCCCGGGGAGAGCCCAGGCTGGTGGGCCCTGGGCAAGCCCAGGCCCTGGCCGACCGCCCGCCCGCCCGCGGCTGCCCTCACTCTCACCAGCTTTGCGCCCTGGATGGACGCAGTATGCGTCTCGCATGGCCCCTAGACCCTGTCTGGTGACTGAGGGAAACCATCCACCTCCCTCCGTGTTCCTGCAGGGTGACCGTGCCTGGGAGTCTCTTAGTGGACACCAGAGGTGGTGGCTTTGCTTGCGGAGCTCAAGGCTGCCTGCCTTGCTGGTCATCTCCCCAGAGAAGGGGCCTGAACAGCTTTGTGGAGAGCTTGGCAAGGTCCCTTTCTTTGGTTTGGCCATCTGTACAGTGGGCAAGGCTGTCCCCGTGTGTTGGCTCACTGTCAGCCTGAGTTACTGACCAGCAGGGCAGCACAAGAGCACTCTGCAGAGACCGGCCCCGGGACCCCAGAGGGCGCCCCAAGAGGGGGATGCTCGCGGCCACTCCAGCAGGCCCCTGGGGCGAGGATGAGTTGTGGCAGCAGTTCTTCAGGCAGGGAATTGACACCAGCGCCTGCCAGGCACAGCCGTGTGCCCCAGGGTTGCTGGGAAAGGGCTGGGGACTCCCTGACTCCACAGCAGCCACACAAGCGGGAGTGCAAGGAGACGGGTTGCTATGGGGGACACGGGTGGGGAGAGGAGGGGCTGTTGGAAGGCCTCTCCTAGGAGGGGACCTTCGCAGACAGTCAGAGCCTTAGTGTGGGGAGAGCCAGCCGGACAGGAGGGACAGCCCTGCAAAGGCCCTGTGGCTTCATGAGCTCTTGTTCAGTAGGTGGGGAGGAGGAGAGGCGAGTGCAGGGAGGACCCAGGGTGGAGTCGAGGAGGAAAGCCAGGGATCCTCCTCGGGGCCCAGGAAGCGGGCAGTTGCAAGAGCTGCCACTGTAGATGCCACTCACAGGCCAGCTGTAGTGCCCTCTCAGTCCCAGGATGACTGGTGGCAAGGGCCATCCAGCCCAGTGATGATGGGATCTGAGCCAGCCCCAGGAGGATAGGGATGCACGGGCCCTATCCAGTGCTCCTCGCCCGTGAGCCCTGACCCCTGTTGCCCTGGCCTTCCACAGTGGTCCCCAGCCCTCCTCAGCATCTGGTTTCCCTCCTGCGGGGTGGCCCTGTCACCTCTCCTCTCCTGTGGGCACCCCAAGATGCTGAGGCGTGCTTGGCTCGGAGGAATTTGCAGGGGGAGCCTCCACTGCAGTGGAGGGCTGAAGGACAGCACCCATTGGTCACGTGCTCCAAGCCAGCCCCCAGGGAGGAGACTAAAAGCACCATCTTCCAAGAGGAAAAAGAGGAGAGTGGAAGGACCTGGGCCTGAGCACCAGGAGGGCTGTAAGCCCTGGCCTCTGCCTCCTCCCCTCCTCCCCTGCTCCCCCCTC